GTTTCAAAATACACACTCAAGTCACATTTTGTTATAATATATTTCTTTATAAGACATCCTGTTTTCAGCTGACAGCTTTTGTTTTAGTCTGTCCTATTTTGATAATTATGGCTCATTTTAGCTTTCGTCATATTTTTCTGATGTTTCGAGAAGTAATGAAATTTTTGTACTAAAAGTACTACACGTATTCCACAGGGTGGCCATGGTCTGGAAGTTAGTTAAATACTCCGATTATTTTTGGTACTCTCATGCATCAAATGCCGATTTTTAAAAACCTTTTCAACATACTAGTATTTCTCAAGTATGATATATGGATGCACTGAATCGTGTTTCAAAAGACTTTATGGCGTTTATTCGATAGACATTTTGTAAAGCATAACTAGGCTCAAGAGCAGTAGTAGTCGTCTTGGGAGGCCTAAGCCTCGTTGTACTACTTGTACGCTGATTTGTGATACGTTATACTGAGTCTATACATTGATTGTTTGTAGGACAAGTCGTTAGCATTATTGCCTGCTGCTTGTTTTCTTTTTTTTTTCTCTAATAGTTTTTTTCTAGGAGTTTTTCTGTGGTATCTAATAAACATAATGGTCTCCATACAAAATACTCAAACGTTCGTCTTATTTTTATTTATTTGGTACTAATCAAAATAAGTTGCTATTTTCTCTGGAATTTTAAAAATATTTTTCTGTGAAGCATATTACAGTAAATAATTTAAGAAAGCTTTCGAATTCAGACTTTTTTTACTCATAAATATGCTCATATACTCAGTATATGCTATAGTGGTCCGATATTGGCGGTTTCAACAAATGATCAATTTCTCGGGGAGAAAAGGACGTGTGCAAAACTCCATATCTAAAAGCTGAGGGGCTAGTGAGCATATATACATATCTAAATCGACTCAGCTCATGATGCTGATCATTTATATGTATATACAACTGTGCATAAAGCAAGTACTTCTATTTAGAAAAATAATTCTAAATAAAAAAAAAAAAATTGTTAAAATTTACCCATTTTAATATTTTAGTCTCCATTGAATATATACTTGTATAAAATAGTAAAAAAATCTTCCGGCTTCACTAAAAACTTATGTCACGAGCTATTTAGCAGCGTCTGTTTATTATTTAAATATTTTTGAACAAAACAAATTTAGTCAGTATTCTGTCCACACAACTCACAAACCAACTAAAGAGCAAAAACACACAACGGCACAGTTTAATGGCGTTCGCGTTGCAACCAGCCGTGGGGCATTTCGTATAAATTAGCACGGGCTTAAAGGCGTAGCCAAGTGTTGACGCCCTGCTGTTGCAATTATTTTACACTTAATTTATTTCACAACAAATACAGCAAACATCACAATTGTCATTTAACGAATTAAATTGTAAACATAAATGAATTACGACCAGAAGACAGGGAATTAAGTCAAGCGTGGCTTATTAGCATAAGTTGAAATGCGCAAGTGCTAAAGCGCCTAAGTGCACATTGTGCCTAAATGAGCGCACAAACAATTATGACGTCACTGATGCAACGTTTTGCAACAACAAAAATAGTGTGCGTATTTGTCATTTGTGGCATGTGCGGTAATTGTGGCAGTTGTGTTGCGCAATCGCAGTGAAAAGTGTGACATAGAAAATGTTTGTGCTTTTTATAAATAGCGCTAAATAATTGCTGCTCAGCAGCTGTGACAGCTGAGAGTTGAGAGTTACGCATACGGTATTTGATGTCAAGTTCAGCGTGTTGGAAATCGATGGGTATGGATGTGTGTGTGTGTCCTTTGGCGCGAATCATCGCTTATACCTGACACTTCTCTGGCTTCAAACGAATTTCTATGCATTTGAGCGTCTATGTATGTATGTATGTGTGTTATCGCGTTCGCTACAGTGTTATCTTTACACATTCTAACTTCGCATCAAAAGCAGTTTTCATTTTTTTTTGCTTCTCTCAATCAATTAACGCTGCGCTCTAAAAGGCACTTTTAATTGGCAAACATTTCTAATTCATTGAGCGTCATGTACTGCATAGCTGCAGTCAGTTTTTTCCATACAAACACATACAAACATTTTTATTTTTTTCATGCTACTCCATTAAATAGCGAAAAATTAATTAAGTTGAACAGCGGGAGCTTGAAAAAAGTGTCAATTCGATAAATGTGTTGCGGAATGCTTCGCGGTCATTGGAAGCCGACTTGCTGGTGGCACGTACGCGCTGTTTGCCGATAAATATATGCTATGCGCTTTTTTCTATATTGTCACGCGTTGCATAAATTTGTATAAACTCAATTTTTTTCCGTCTTATTATTTATCATTTGTTTGATTATATTCTAATGGAGGAATGTCGTCAAGTTTTCTTGAGAAGTTGTGGATTAGCTGTTTTCAAGAAATAATGAAGGGTACAAATAATTATCATTTCTACTCTTCATTACGGTGACGGGAGGAAATTTACTTCCACTTTATAAAATAGTGAATATTAATAAAAGAAATTTAAATACATATAAATTTGTTACACAAATTTTGACATAATTTAATTACAATTTAAGGAAGTTTTTACAAAAATCAGTCAAATATAAAATATCACAGAATTTTTTGTTAAGTTAAAGTTATATTTTGTAATAATTTGGTTATGAAGTACAAGGAGTGTAAAAAATATATATGGTAAATATTGTTGAGAGTTTTCAAGAAAAATATATTTATCATTTTACACAAAAAAACTCTTGGGATAAAATTAACGATTAAATTTCTACATTTACAAATTTCATATAATTTTTAAAATAATCAAAAAATCGATTTTTTTCCATATAAGAGTATATCTAGTGTACAGACATAAGGTTAATAATATACTCTTTTTTTGGAAAGTCGAAGTTTAAGCAAAAATCTAACTTTTCACTAGTACTTTTTTTTCGGTTTCTGGTTCTTAGATAATTTAAGCAGAGAAATTTTACTCACCGCCAGACACGTTTTTTCGAAGATCCTCAAAAATTAAAAGTAAAAGTACAATACATTATGTTTATACTTTCAAAACATTTTTTTGGTAAACCTTTCAAAAGTGTAAAAATGGGTGAAGTCGGATAAAAACTGCGCCAACTCCCCATATAACGGTTATGTTGAAAACTACTAAAAGTGTGATAGCTCACTAAATAAGTGCTTCACAGATATTAAATTTTACATCCAAGATGGGATGAAAGTTTTTAATAGGACCTGGTATTAAAATTGGATGGTGGGCGTGGGATCACCCCGTGGTAAAATCACTTAAATAACACAAAAAAAAAATACTGGATTAAAACTGTGCAAAAATAGTACTTTTATGATATGCTACGTCAGGTCAACAGTTGGTCATATACGGACCATAATTGTTGAAGCCCCCAGATATCAAATGTGTGGACCTCGGTGCATATGGCTGACTTTTTATCGAAAATGTGGGTCAATCTGTGCCATATATTATTAAAATCAGGAGAGATTTTTTTTTGCTGATAATAGTGTACCCTCGTGTCAAAAATGTATGTTGGTCAGAGTGTGTTACCTCCATCAAATTGCGTGAAATCATAATTCCGAATATATTTGAGCAATGTCACAAGTTAATGCAGTCAGTCAAGACCTTCTCCTAACACAAATACATCCGCTATAATGATTTCCGACTTTCTTGCTGACTTTAAGCCGTACAACATACATATGTGATGTTTCAATATTTTCATAAACATAATGTACTTTAGTGCTGAATATGAATGAAATTGGTGTAGACCGTGCTCTAAATCTAATGTCCCGAATGTCAAACAAAATGAGAAAATATTGAAGTGAGTCTACGATCCATAATAGAGTTTCATAAGATACCAAATTCTTTTAGCCTTTTGACGAAAAATCAATGTTGAATTCTTTTGAAATGTTTCTTAATATAAAGTTTGACCTGAACCTGACACCTGAAGGTATTATCCCGACTTTGATCCTTGCGGGAGTCTAAAATGTTCAGTTACAATCGAACTTTAGTTAAATATACGTATATTTCAAAATCAACTGGTTTTTATCACTCGACGAGTTAGAAAAATATATAAAATGTTTCTATTTAAAAAAATGTGTATACGGAAATTTTCAAATAATATATTTTTAGTAAAAAATTTTAAATTTCATAAAACGTGTGTGCGTTTTTACATTATTTTAATAAGAACTACATTTTTCTTTGCATATATTTTGGTTATTAAAATCTTTAAAAATATTGCTGGGAAAAATTTGTAAAAGGTTACATGGTACAAAACTTGTTTTATCAAAAGATCGAAATTAATTTTTTTTATTTTTATTACGAATTTAATTTTTTTATTTCTAATGAAAATTGAATATTCTAACTTTTTGCGAATTTAAAAGTATGAATTTATAGATTTCTATTTATCGACTTAAAAAAGCACCTAAGCAGTTCAAAATGTTTTTTTGTGTTTTGTTTTGTGAATAAAATAATTCAGTATTTTTATCTGAGTTAAATACGCATATCACTAAAAAAAATTATTTAGGACATACAATAAGCCTCAATATGCTGCTTTTCCACATTAGAAAGAGTTATAAAAAATGTTGATGCTTTTAAAATAAATTATTATGTAACAATTTGTGAAGATTTTTTAGTTTTCTGTAATTCGGTAATTAAGTTTGTATATAAAATTACCGAATATAATTTTGAAATCGTGTTGTATCGTGAATAATTTATTATAATTGAGTTAAACAGGTGCACATTTTCATATATTTTCCCAATTTATAAAGTGTCCAAGTATTCATTTTTGAATAAGCTGAGGCTTAGAAAGCAATAAATTCATTATATGAAATTGTGCTATAGGAATTTTTATTTATACAAGATCAGTTCTAATTAAAAAAAACTATTTTAGTAAAATTTTCAAATACTTGGTTTAATAATTATTATTTTTTAATGAATTGAAAAATGTAAAAGTATGCATATACAATTACTACACATCTAGCTTTATTTTATACCCGTTACTAATTAAATCACGAATTGCACATCTTCTCTTGCAGTTCACACAACCCACATACGTCCTGGTCACGTGCCTCATTTCAATTAGTTCGGCGATACGTGTCGATTTCAATACGAACAAGGGTCCGATTGTGCCACCGACACCACGTACCACGATACGTCCGTTGCCGCCGTTCCGTGAGCCAGCGCCCGTCTGGGAGGATCAAAGCAATGATATACCGAACCCGAATCCATACACGTAAGTGTTATTACAAAAGACTTAAGACACGAACTCGTTTCAATGATTAATGTTTATTAGCGCCATAAAGTGACAATATTAATTGTGTTAACTTGATGAAATATTGTTTTATGCATTTTTTTCGTTTTCTGTGTGTGCTTTGAAATAATGAATAATAATAACAACATTGCTCATATAATAAAATTTGTAAACGAATTATAACATTTTCCTTCTCATACTCAAATTAAATTAGAAAATTTCGATTCATAATTTATTTTTAAAATTTTTAAATAAACCGCAACCATAAAGTCATATTTTTGTAGTTATTATTAACTAAAAAGCGTGTCAATACCGTGAGCGCCCCAAAAGCGTTCAGTTTCTTCAAAGTCTGCTACAACAGATAGACATCCTTTGATCATTTACATAAAGAATATCGTTTAATCTCTGGAATGGTTTCTTAAACCATGCATGCATTCAATTCGGAATGTCCCTACCTGGGACCTTTAGTGTAACTGGTTTTCCGGAGTCGGTAAGCAACCTTCGCAGCAATGCACTTACCGGCTATGTCCGCGGGTGCTATTTGTAGAATGGTATCAAGTGTCATCGTTTGTGCTCTATGTAGTGCAATGATGTTGCCAATAAGAGTCACTCCTGGAACCAAGCGCTCTCCACCAGATAAAAATACCATAGTATAATATGGGCTTAACCACGGTTTTGTAAAGCTAAAGTACAACTTTTAGTGCGGGATTTAGTTACATAATTTTTTCCGAAAATATTTGAAGTCAGATGGCAACACAGTAATGTTTTTTTTTTAACTTTTACACAAATAATATTATCTTTAGATAATGTAAAGTTAATATTATTTATATTTTTTGGTATATAAATAAATGTGGCAACTTTTTATTACATACTAACTATCTTATAATTTGAACAGTGGAATACTATAAATTTTAATATATTATCTATGTGTGATTTATGTGTAGATTATTATAAAATGTCGTAAATAATAGTAAATAATATAATTTAGCTTTCGACAGTTTTTATGTCATTAAATTTACTTTAGAAATATATAAAATCCCCCATGCTATTTAATATTAGGTTTTATAGCCTTTGGTAAAATAAACAAATGTTGAGAAAGAGGGTAATTTTTCACTATCCACTCAACTCTCATAAAATTTTATAGTTTAATTTACCACCGCACAATTTCTAAATCTAAACCGTTTTGCTATCTTTCAGCTACATTTTACCGCCACCGTCGCGACCACGTACAACCGGCAATATTGTTGGCAACGCCGGTCAAAGGCCACTGCACTACTATGGTAACCTCTTGCTGCCCTCTAATGAGAATGCCTTCACCCAACAGGGTAGTACGAATGTGGGCGGCGGCAGCTTGGCAGCGAAATATATACCCAATATTGGTATACGGTACACAGCGGTGGTGGCGCCGGCTTACAATAGCAACAGCAACAACAATAACAACTACAACAACAATCAAGCCAATCGCAATAACGGTGGCGGCAATTACTTTGACGTGAACAATAAATTGCATGGCAAATACTATAATGCCAAAACGAAAAAGTACAAGGCATACGAGAAGGTCAAATACGTGCCACAAAACTATGTAAGAATCTATTATTATAAATAAAGTAACAATTTACGACAATGTAATATTTAATATTGATTTTCGATATGTTTTTTGTTTGTTTTAGAAGCAGTAGTGTTATTTGTAAGTAGTGAAATGTGAAAAGTTTGAGGTTAGGCAGAATATATTTTTATGAGAACTTTGTTGAACATTTTCCAAGTAATTCTAATAAATTTATGGTTTTTTAAAATAAAAGTTTTGCTAAAATACAATATATTAAGATAGTTTATTTAACACAAAACCTGGTATTTTTGAAAATTTTTGTTTAAAGTGTTGTTGATATAACTGTAATAAGGTACACTCTCTGTTTGTCAAACAAATCCCCACATACTCATATTTTACTTCAACACTTACCATTTTCATCACTCATTCAAGTGGTTATATTCACTTGCAAGTCAGAAAAAACGCATTTTACGTGAATATTTTTTAAAAGAGGCAATTTAGTTAATAAATATGTAGAGATAAGAAAAAACGTTAACTTCGGTTACATGGAGATTATAATATTCTTAATCTTGTCCTTGTCCTTATAAATGAGTGTAAAAATAACTTTATCTTGATTTTGATCGATTAGTTTCTATAAAAGCTATAGTTGTCCGCTCTGAACAATTTCTTCTCTTGTTTTGTGTAATAATCCATAAGCAAAATTTATTATTCTTACAGATGAGTCCAGATAATGATCGAATACCAACTTAAATTTAGATTTTTACGTTAAACTTACCTTTCAGAGTGACTTCAAAAAGTATTATTCAAAATTTTATTTCATCGATTATTACTTTACAAATATATTTTTAACAGCCGTATGAAAATTTCGAGTCGAACGTTCCATTCGTTTAGTAAAAATATTCTTCAAAACAGCGGTTCGTGTTAAAATTTTGGCAGCCGAATACACTAAGCTAAAAAGTCCTAACAATTATGCTGCTATCTCGAAAACTATTTGGCGAATAAATTTAAAATTTTCGGAGAATAATCTCAAATATATGTTCACAAGTAGACTTAACCGCTTAAAGTTTTATAGACATCAACATTTCTAGTTTTATATCAAGCATCGCATCATCTACTCACACCATTCATACGTTCTCATTACAGTATCCACGCTCTGAATTGGCACTACCCATCGAAAAACCTTACACAAACGCATTCAATCAAGAACAGTTGATACGCACACAACAGCTGCCACAAATAGTGGCACCAAACGCCTTTCGGCCAGTCGAAAAAGTAGCAACCGAAGTTGAATCGCAACTACACAGTGCAGCATCAACACCGCAAAATACCGTTAGCGCAGCCGCAACAACACCTATAGCTGCCAACACAGCTGCCACACAAGCCAAGTGGGCGCACGAGAAAGATCAGCCGTTGTTGAAAGGCAAGTCCCTCCTCGAATCCAACAAAGCTCAAGCACAGCTACCAATTACATCAACAACAACAACTGCAAACAGAACGGGAGGTCAGCAGGCGAACGCAATCTCCAGCGCGAAGAGCAGGTGAACGTGCAATAAAATACCGTTACAGCAGCACAAATACAAATTAATTTGAAGAACGAATTTTACAAATGCATTTACACCAACAACAAAAAGCAAAAATGTACCTCAAATACCTAAATCATAAACTTTTTTGACATTTAAATTTATTTTTATGTAACCGAATTGCAATATTTTTTGTTATATTTTGTAAATTCTTTCAATTGCCTGTCATTGGGCGTTGCATTTGAGGCGCTCCGAGAAGATTAACTAAATTTAACCTGTTACCACATAGTCTATGTTCCTTTAGGTTCCATCATTTTTTAAATTTCTGCCTTGCCATAAGAAAGAGACAACGAAAATTCATAATTATTGTAATATTTTTTAGCTCAAACTGTATTGTTGGTAGCGCGCAATACACCGTTACGTAAAGTGTTTACATAAATAGCATCTTATATATTAGAAACGAAATCAACCACTGTGTAAAAATTTTAATCTTACTAGTAGCTATGAATGCTAAAAATAAACGAATGCTTTTTTTATGTAAAGTAATTGTAAATAAATAATAATGTATAAATAAGAAAACGAGCAATAAAACTGAATAAATATATACTTTTACAAAATTGAGTGGTTTTTATAATCAAAAAAATGTATTTTGATGGAGATTAAAAAATTGTCATAAAGTTTCAACGGTACATGAGAGTTTCTGGATTCATACTTAGGCGTATTTTCGCACCTCACAGGACAGCTAGTTCGTCCAACATCCCATGAAGATCAGCATGAACTCCACAAAATTCACTAATGCGAAGCAAATATTATTAATTTTTCAAAACTTTCCAAATTGAAAAGAAAGTCTACAAAATTTCAGTTCTAGTTTATACCATTTGCAGTATCGAGTTTTATTTTACTCCAAAAATTAATAGTTCCATACTTTTAAGTCACCTCTTAACGATTTTTTAGGTTAGGTGGCTGATCCCTCAATATGGTGGGGTATCACACTTAGCCAAATAAAAACTACGGTATTTGGAAATCAGTTATCGGCAAAACGGCTTAAACCTATCACAAATCTGCATATGTGCTTTATTCATATTTGCGATATTTCACCTGGATGTCGAAAAGTATGAGATCCGAGGTATTTAAGCCTTAATCTGGCAAAGGCGGGACTTTCCAGAAGGAAGTATGGATACGATTCTAACTCATCTTCTTCCAGTTAGAACTACTAAAACTATTGAAAGATAAATTTTGCTAAGAGCAATGAGCTCACTAGGTCTCTTAGGTTGCTAGTAGTTGATCAACGCTTGGCCTAAGCTCAAGCAGTGACCAGGCACCCGAACCAGTTTAATCATGTTGTAACTTGATGCAAGAGATAAGTAGTCCATATATCCCATCACGTGTCTTGAGCGCACAGTCAATCGACGTATTATCTTGAGAAGAGACCGACTTGGCCCTGAAATCCCAATTCTTATTTAAATTCATCAACTCTGATTACCTGCATAACACTGCTGTAATGGACTTCTCCTTCTCTTGTTGTTTTCGCTTGAGTTACATTGTTTTTACGATTTAGATCTTTATTCGTGTTAGACGGGTTATTCTTGAGGTAAAAACTGAAACTAAGATTTTTAAATCTTACACCTTTGAATTGTTTAAGATTTAACGACTTTAAACAATGGTAAATATTCCCTCTTTCGACTTCTCTTTTATAGTTTATAGTCTTTTATAGTTTTTCAGTAAAAACAAGTAAGTTATGGCTTAACAAATTAAATCTTTAAATGATGAATAAATGTATTTAAGCCTGACTATATGTGAACAAGACATGCGGTTAGTGTTATAGCTACAAAACAGCCAAGGCAATAACATAAGAATTCGCGTGTCATACAGTGCTTAAAATAATAACCTTTTTTAATTAGCTGTTAAGTTGTATATTACTCAGTGTTTAGCGAGTTTCATTGTCTCAGGACATTGAACTTAACTTTAATGCATAAAGTTTCACTTTACAAAAATCTTCTTCTGACATAAATGGTTTTAAATTACCATAAATATATTAAACACAGTTAAAAAATGTTGCCATCAATTATTTAAGATATTAGAAATACGTCAGAAAATTCTTGTACTCTTTGTATGTTTATTAATTTTTGCAGAACCTACTTCTGCTGCTTTTAGTTATGCAAAAAAAAAAAACTGTCTAGAGACCCAAATATACAAATATATATATATATATATAATTTTTATTATGTGCAAATAATGCTATAAAATATACTAGTTGTTAGTGGCTATTTGAAAGATTGAAGACAGAAGGCTGTTGGTTTACTTAGCCACTAATTAAGGCGGTGAGTTAATGAAAAGTTGCCATAAATGGTTTAGTTTGCTCTTTAACCTTTTTAATAGTTGCTTTTAAGTTGTTAACGGTTTTCTTTGGTTGACGTTTTGCGCTAAGCTATCATTAAAGATAATATACACTAAGAGAAGTAAATATGTAGCACTTTTTAATATATCCGGTTGGCATAACTGGCATTTAAATCTGATGTGAAAATATTTTTAGTTTAGCGGTGATATTGAAGCAAGAAGTTCGAAACAGGATTTTCATTAGATATACTATCATATATGTTTTTTTTTTATCAACAAATTGTTTTGAATTTGTTCACAATCGAAAATGAGAAGAATTGAAGCATTGAGTATTAACAATCGAAGATAAAATGTGGTTTACATAATGAGATATTAATGATTTTGTGAGTAGGAAAAGCAAAAATACATTAATTTCAATACAGACTTTGAAACTATGACAAATGATTTCTACACGATTATCATAAATCAGTGGCAGTTTTTTAAAAATAAATTTCCGAAAAAATATTTCTTAATAGGTTTAAATCTTATAGTTGTAACAACATGCTTACATGACAAAAATGTAGAAAACACTTACCAACACAAATTACAATCCAGAATAGAGGCAGCCGTTGGTTTGAAATCTTTATTAAATGGTTATTGGCAAACAAAGTTCCTACAAATATTTTAACATTTACTCAAAAAGCGTAAACGTGCTAACTGCACTACTTTTTTTTTTATAGATGCAAATCTGTATCACTGTTGAATTGCTCAAGCAAATGAGAATATACACATACGCACTAACCTCTGAAGAAATTAGCAGTTCTAAAATTGTATATACGTACATATGTATTATAAATCCATGAACCCTCTCTCAAAATTTGAAAATACCCTTCGACCAAACTCAATATCCGCATCTACGATATAATCTTTTGATTCCTGTTTTTCAAGTGATATTTTAACTTTGCTAACGCTTTCGGTCATTCTAGCGCTGCAGGTAACATTTTGAACAGGAAGAGTTAAAATGAGTACGAAAATTGAGCAAATTTCGAATTACTATGCATTCAAGGTTTCATTGCGCTCATACATTATAAAGAGAGTTTTAGGAGATCTTAGCGAAAGGAGAGTGCATAGGAAGCGGATATAGACTATAGGTAAAAAGTAACAGTAACAAAGAAATGTGTTAAAGGGAGAAAGAGAGTAATGTTCAAAAGATTTAGGAAAAAAGTACATTGTAGGTATTTACTAGTTTGATCTTATCATTTATGTAAAAATTTCACACTTACCATTCAGATACACTTATAGATGCTACTGGAAGTGTCATATAGAAATATAACACATGTATACATACACATCATATACATACCATATACAACATATATATACATGTTTTCTCTAAGTATTCGAACATCTAATTAGACTTGTAAAGTATAGTCCATGCTAAACTCTTTTGAGAAACAAGGGAAGTTTAGTGAGAGTAATCAAATAGTACATGTAGCTTACAGTTTAAATGCCATTGGAAACCAGGATAGCATCAAGATTTATTGTAGATGCATATGAACTTCGTATTTCTAAAGGAAGATTATCTTGCAGAAAACGGAAATAATACGATTGTTATGAAAGAAAAAGAAAACATACAGCCTTTGTCTTAAAAAGAAAGAATTTTCTGCTCATGTAAGCGTATACAGCTTTCCGCATATCCAGTTGTATCTTAGCAAGATATTACTCTCTTTCTCTTACATTCAGTTTAGTACAGAAAAAATCATTAAGGGACTATTTAAATATAAACATATGTATTTTTTTATATATATTCTATGTTGTATAAAAGAATATAATAATTTGAACTCTTTACTACTATTAATCTTCTCTCTTTAAAAATGATTTTCCGTTGTCTGCTTATTCTAACCCATTCGTTGTTAGAATTTTTTTCATTTGATTCAATACAAAACTACAAAATCTGTGTGCATACATACATGTGGCATCATTTTAATATTTTGAAGGAATCACGTATATTTTTAAGAATAATCCTCCTTTAAGGAAACTATTTATTCTAGTATGTCCCTGGTATCCCAAAATTGTATAAAGTTTTTCAAGTAGTAGTTAGCAGCAAAATGCAAGAGATTATCTAAGTATGAACAATTTGAAGCGTACTGGAAATTCATAGCTCATAATAATTTGTTTTTCATATTAAAATCTTGAAAAATAGTTATATATAAATTTCGATTTCGTACAAGTGATTTGCTATTATATAAAAATTGACTAAATACATATGAATAAAGAAATATTTAAAACAGTTAACATATATATAGATATTGCGCTCGTTAACCAAGGATTTCTGTTCTATTAAACATCTTATGGAAAATCTTAAGCTAATAAAAGCCTTGGTTAAGGATTGTAATTATTATTGGTAAGTTTTTTCCAAGCATATTTAAACATTTTTTATTAATAATCTTTTTAATAATATTCGATATTTATACCAATTGAAATCGTATATTTTCCTAAATTATACATTTATCTTTATTGGTCATTATATAGCTAACACATCTGTCTACGTCTAAGCGCATAAAAATATTAAGATAAGACATTATTGGTTTGATCGGTGTTTGATATGTATATACACACAAACATGGATAAATATACTATATATAAATGTATAGAAATATATTATATACAAGTATATATGCAAAAATTTATACCATTAAGTTAAAAATAATTAATTTTGGCTTTGGGTTACACCTACAATCGACTGCTCTCCTTTCGATCAAATATACATAATAACATATCTATACATAACTCTATATGTATCTCGATTGGTTATAGGTGATACAAACAACCGTTAGGTGAACATAAATATTATACTCTGTAGCTATATTATACAAGAGTTCGAGGATACATTTTAGGATATAGTGTATGGTATCTTGATTTACCATATTGTTTGCTCTAATTCCACGAAAGCAGAAATCATAGGGAAATTGTAGTTTACATATAACCTTCTAACAATAGGTCCTTTAATACCTTTTTTTTTGTTTTTCTGGCTTGAAATAAGTAACTTTTAATAATAGGAGACATTCCATAAATATAACCAAAAACTTATTTATATGATGTGTTCGGTTTAGTATTGTATAATAACATTAATTCCAGCTTTATGCTTTTAAGCGATATAATTGTGAATAGGGTTTATTGGCTTTACACGGTTGTAGTTTTTTGGTTTTCTATGCAAACTAAATTAGCGAAGTTTGTGTTTAGATACCAGTTCCGAGATTTTGAATTAATTTTGCCAGAAACTTGTCAATGCTTCATAACTCGCTGAATTTCTCTTAGCTTTCGCATGATTTTCCGAATCCAGTTCCCTTCCCAAAAATTTAAAATTCCTAAAAAGCTAACAATACAGTATGATGAAACGCTTTTATTAGCAAAATAGAAAAATTCCAATTATTTATAGTTTTAGTATATATGGTATATATTTAATTTCTCTTGTGCAAATTCGAAAGTCGCGTACTTATCAATTGATAAAAGCCACTGGTTGGGCATGTTGTATGGGTTCCTTTGGTTGTTGTTGTTTTAATCGAATCAGTTGACGTGTGTTGCTCGCTGCTGTACGTGTACGTACAGTGGCACGAAAGCCGCCATTTCCGTCTACCTCATAATAGACACTACGCACATTGCCGTTGGGCTCCAGCAACCCATACTCGCCAGTTACCCTCGTACCGTGGCGCTCTTCGCGATGGTGTAAATGCACCATAGACTCCGGATGATCGATGTAGTAGTGATAAGCGTATTTCAACTGAAAAGATAAGCAATAACCGAAGTATTAAGTATTACCACACACACAAAGACATGTAATTAGCTAAGATGTAATTAACTGGGAATTCGTTTGAATTTGAGATCTGCTGTGTGTCAAGTTGCTAGCGTCTTTGATAATTTGGTGTGAAGTCTTCAATTTTACCTCACATTTGGTACCTTAGCCGCAAACTCATTTGCATATGGAGATAAATCACTTTTCGTTTTCTTCACGCGCAATTTCGATGACGTGCTGCGTAGCAAATCGCCGTCACATCAGCTCATTTCTTTTCGTTTTTAATCACGCCAACAATTTGTTATTTAATTTAACTGCTCTCATGGAGGCGCATATAGGCCACCCGGCTGGACTTACCTCATCGTTGTTGTGCTGATTTTTGTAATCTGCAGAAAACTCCGTATAAAGCGTTGAGCTCTGCTGGGGTTGAGCGCTTGAATGTGGCAACAAATTCACAGACAATTGAAGATATATGAGGATGGTAAGAAAATCGAACATTTTCATGGACTGTAAATTAAGAAATTGTGCAAATTTGCATGCATGAATATTTTTATGTTTATAAAGTGTGAGAAAAAATTTTAGCAAATGAACTGATGATAAATTGCTGCATAATTTTTATAAAAGAAATATTAATTATGTGAAATTGTAAATATGTATATAATTAAATATACAAAAAAACTAAGAATTACAAAATATTTTTTTTTGCAAATATTTTTTTTTTATAATAAGTAAATGTTATATTGACATCGTATCAACCCAATTAATATTCTTTTTTATTTTTCATAGCAACATTTTAGTTTAAATGAATTAAATTAATTTATTGCAAAAATTGAATAGCCATGCTATGTTTTCCGATAGATGCAGACAGTTCACATCAGAACAGGTATCAATAATTGGCTTGATTTATTTTTGGGATGTAATCCACAAATTGTCAAGAAGATGGAAAAATATTAAAGCTTCAGATGAGCAATACCATAAATAAACTTAAAATTTTGAAAAATAACACACGTTATATACCTATATACAATTTTTTTTTGAACTGAGAAAATTATTTTTTAATTCAAGAATAATATGTAAACCTTAAAAAATATAATTTAACGTTTTTTGCTAAGAAAACAATTTAAAAATAGTTGTCCAGAAAATATTTTTAGAAAAATAATCAAACATTTTCGTTACATCTTAATATTTTTGACTGCTTTCCTAACAATTACAGGAACAATTTTAATCCAACTTCGTATGTATATTAAAATTTGACAAATGATTAAATCTTGAAAGCAATACTAAAGATAAAAACTATTTGGCATATTGGTGTTCTAATGTGGTCATTAAGTTTCTATAAAGACTTTGACGTCATAGAGCAAAGTATGCTAATTTAAGCAATAATGTATGCTCAGTTAAAATTATTTTAATCATCTTATTTCTGAAGAAATTTGAATCTTACTCACCACCTCATACATGGTTTTGACTAGAATGAGGTTATATAATATATTGTTCTAGTACTAATTACATAAATTGAGTTAGTTTATATATTTTTTCTGCGATCAATAACTGAGTATAAGTAACTACTTATTAAGCTCTTAAATTCCGTCTGATCTTTGCGATTCCGAAAATAGGTGGCTAGGGGGAGAATAGAACGTGTGCGCAACTTCAGATTGATATCTCACAAGCTGAAGAACTAGCTAAATTGAGAATTATAACTTGGCTATTTGAAAACCGAATACCTAGTATTTCTCAGTATATACATATCTATTAATATAGCATGTATAGTTATAGTAAATTTTACACTGATCAATCATTTGCCCTTTAAATTGCTTCATAGTAAAATGAAGGCAAGTAATTGGAAAAATTCATAACATGCCCAAAACGTTACTTTTCCTATTACGTGAGCGAGTTTGTATAAAAAAAAACTACAAGTGTATATAATTTCAAGCAAAAATCACTAAAACATATATATACACATCATATATACAAAGGAATACATATATAAAGATAGTTGAATATTTATCCACCGTTATATTGAAATAATCGGGCGTGACTGTGTGATTAAACTGTGCAGTGAATGGGCGGTAGGGCCAAGCAGATAGCTATTAACACCCGGCGACAATAAAAAAAAAAAAACAACATCAACAACAACAAAATAACAAAACTAACAATCACTTAAGCTAACCATAAACCGGCTGCAATTATGACAGCACACAAAAGCTGGCGATAAAGCCCAACTATCTCCTCGTCGATTCAGGGAAAACACCCATTCTTCATCGCAGCAAATCACCAAGCATCTCTGGATACGAGTGTGTTGCATGTGTACACATACATTGTGCCTCATTACATGTTTTCATTGCAAATCACCACAAAAGGTGAGGTCAAATGCTTTGAACTCCAAAATCATTCAATCAGCCGCGTTTGCAGCAAGCACTTGCAGAAATGCATATAAATATATAATATATATACACAAATCCATTTATACATACTTGTATGTATGAATGTATATACAAAGTAGGATTTTTCGTTTATTTTACTTTCTTGAGAAGCCTTTGCTGAGCTCTTAAACATTTCAAATCTTGAAAAGAATGCAATTTCTGTGTATTAGTTGTTTGTGTAACTGTTTAGCTGGTTTTAGAGGAATTTGATTTTTGCCTCCGAGCTTTCATTGTGCCTTACTGATAGTGGCGATTATATAATACAAGTATTGCTGATGCGATACGACACGGATAAGCTCCGAAAGGTGTTGTAATGTGGCTAAAAAAAAGCTGGTATGTTCCTGCTTATCTATACAGTCACAATTTTCAGTACCATACCGGTTGCAAAAGACTAATTAAGGCCAGGCTAAGGATGGACATTTGCTGATTTATCAATTGTTTGATTTATATCGATAATTCACTCACCAGCTAGATGCTGAAAATACTATAATGCTTCTACGAAAAAAGTTGGTAACAGCTCTATTTAATGGGTTTGGGTTTGGTTTAAGGAGTTTCTAGAAAGGCGTCGATAAGGTCACAGTAGGTCACATCAATCGAATCCAGGATTAGTTAATACCCGGAAACGTCTTATAATTATTTGGTAAGTATTTACCTACCGAGAAAACCGATATGCCCTTAAACCATCAGTCGGAGACAGCCAATAACAGAACATATCTGTGAAGACGGTGTATGGATGAAATGAAGTAGAATCGGTTTTTACTTTGTTAAAATAATTAGCTTTAGATTTCTTTGAAGATATATCTACGTAAGTTCACAGCTTAAAAACCTATATGAGGTCATAAAATGCGACAAGCATAGTATTGGACCGTATAACCTACGTTATTTGGTGGCGTTAAGTTGTCTGTATTTCTGACATGTTCTATACTATTAAAATTTTCCATTTTTAATATATATAAAAGTGGTTTTGAAAACCAGATATTGTTATTTAAATTAAATCAGGTATAAGACTTAATTAACTTAACTTAACTTAATTTTTTATTGGCATTAAGGGTATATATTTGGAAATCAACCAAAATTATACCAACTTCCAGCACAAAGTGATATATTTTCTCCATGAAAATGATGATACGATAACATTATATAAATGCTTCATTACACCTTACAAAAACTTTAAATTTTTTGCATGATGAAAGAACAAAATATTATTGTGAGAATAGAAGGCGCTATGAGATTTGTTCTGTTATTATATGTATTATCAATCTTCAACATAACCATGGATGGAAGTTAGGTCTATGAACCAAACCTCGGCTTTACTCAAGCAGATGAACTGAAATAAAAGAGCGACCACATTTTTCGATGAACTTCACAACTATCTCAATCTTTTCTCTCGATAATGAGATGTATTTAAATAAATTTACCATAAATAAGTGAAAGAGTTACTTAGTCAATGCGAAATTCGTTTTTCAAAGAACCAGGAATTTTTTTTATCATTGGTTCAGTTGGGAGTTCTAAAATATCTAGTGAGAGTTAGTTTACTACTCCTATGCTTAAGAATGGACACAAGTGAAATATTGTCATAATCAGTCTTAGAAATATACTTACATAGTAATAAAAAGTGTGAAAGTTACTAAACAAGCTCGATACGAGGCCTTGATTTTGAAGTTCTGTCACTACTTTTTCAAGTTGAAACACCTAGAACAACTTTTCATTTGAAATTGGTCTTAACATACTAACTCTGACATTTGTAGAGCTACTAAAGTAATTTTTATGCATGGCTGAAGTGAATCGTTAAAAACTTCATTGCAGTTTTGTAGCTAGAGAAATATTAGCGTGCTGTAATTCCAAAGGAAAAATATAAAATATTAGTTGTCCACCAATAAATGTTTAATAATAACATAGTTGATTTTGATAACACGTTAGCACGATATCATATATAAACGTTTCTTTTACTATTTTTTACTAAAATGAAATATAATATAAGACCTACTTTTTGGTTCACCTGTCCGCCCCAACCACTTAGCACATAGCTTATTTATTACACTCAGATATAGCGTACATTTCTTAGAGATCACTAAAAATGATTTTAATTATTAGCTCATGTAAAGTGTCAGCGAAATTTCTGCTTTGGAGAAATGAGTTTAATTTCACAAAGTTACTCAATAACCCACTGAACTGGCTTCCTCCTTCACCAACAGCAATATTTTAACATTTAATTGGACTATGTTCATATATATGCATGTATGCGTGTGTCTGGGTATGTTTGTAAACAAATTACATGATAAATTAAGTATATGCAATAAGCAAATGGGAATGGGAGAAAGAGATAAACATAAAAAAAGTGGGATTAAGTAAAAATGAGATGAAAGCTGAGATATTATTGCTTTTCGGTGCAAAAGTGCAAATTAGTCTGCATTTTAGTGTTAATCGTTAAGTAGGCAAAAGTAGAAAACAGCATAAACTTAATTTAACTACAAGTGGCGTAAAAGCACGTTCATTTAAAGTAGGAATAATAAAAAATAAAAGAAAAATGTAAGAAAAAGTGGCAATTAACGGTAAACATTAGGTTGTAATACGTTAAACATTTGCTATTTGCAACATGTGGCAGCATACACTAGGCTTACGCGCTTTTGATATAAAAATGACGAAATTATAAGTATTTAAATTTCCATTTCATTTCAAATGAAAATTTATGAGAAAAGTTAAGCAAAACAAGAAAATAACTTTAAATTTAGTTGCACCTTTGATACCCTTTACAGGTGCATTTTTTATAACATAAAAGATCTTGTTAAATAAAAATTGTTCCATAAAAAAACTTGATTTTGATCAATAAGTTTGTATGGCAGCTATATGCTATAATAGTCCGATATCAGCGATTCCGACGAATAAGCAGCTTCTTGGCGAGCGAAAGGCATGAGCCAAATTTCAAATCAATATCTCGAAAATTGAGAGACAAGTTTGCGTATATACAGACGGACATGGCTAAATCGACTCATCACGCTGATCATTTATATGCGTATATACTAGATGGCGTCTCCGACGTCTCTTTCTGGGTGTTAAAAAATTCGTGCCAAACTTAATATACGCTGT